AAAGTGACTGGTACTTTATGATCAAGGAAAATGGTGTTTGAGCCAGGCGGGAGAGACAGGTCAGAGTAGGTCACAGAGGACCCTAGATTCCCTGTAAAGGAAGAGTTCAGATTATATCTTGTGGCAATGAGGAGTCAGTGAAGAATTTTAAGTAATTGTGGCAGACACGCTGGTGGCGTATACAAAATCTATACACTTTCTTCTTCCTTACTATTAGCACCCTGTTTTTATTTTTTATTTAAAAAATTTTTTAGGAATGGTGATACACTTGTTTAAAGATCATGATTTCCCAGACCCCCTTGCAATTATGAGTGGCCATAGACACAGCTCTACATACAGTATTCATAGCTCTGGCTGGTGAGACGTGAGCAAAAGTCTAATGGTGGGACTGTCAGGAACACGTTTATTTTCCTGACAAAGAGGGACAAACTCAAGGGATCTGTACTGTTTGCTCATCGTCTTTCCCCATCTTGTGTGGAACTTGGTTGTCATGCTTAGAGGAACAGGAGACATCCTGAGACCCTGAGGAGAAAAGCCAGGCACTAAGGATAACAGAGCAGGAAAATAGAAGGGACTTGGCTCCTTGATAAACCATGGACCAGTCATAATGCCCAGGACTGTCGCTTTCCAACTTCTTGTGAGGTAGGAAAAACACCTTCTAGGGAGGGGAAGGGTATATCTCAGTGTAGAGTGCTTGCCTAGCATGCACAAGGTCTTGGGTTCAATCCCCAGTACTGCCATCAAAATAATAAATAAACTAACTACCTCCCCCTCACACCAAAGAAAGAAAGAAAGAAAGAAAAACACCTTCTGTATAACTGGGCCACTCTTCTTTGGGTTTTCTATTACAAAAGCTGAAAGCAATACCTAACTGCTAGAGCAAGAAAGTATTAAAATCAGATCTTCATTTTAAAAAGACCTCTGTAAGACACATGGAGAGGATTCATTGGAGGGAGGTGGGACCTTGTTTGAGAGCCTTCCCCATTGTTTTGGGAGACCATCAGAAAACCACTGATGGATGCGTGTTCGGGTGACAGACGGCCTGTTCGGAACCCTAATGCTCCCACTTAATAACTTAATAGTTGGATGATCTTGGGCATTTTTTTTCTCTTTAACCCTAGCTACCTCCAAGGACAGTTAATTCTAATAAGTGCCAGCAATTTTTATTAATTGCTAAATGAAAGCAAATGAAGTCTTAGACCAAAGCCATCCCTGTGGAAATGGCATCACTGCTCTGCCCTCAAAGTCAAGCATTTTCCTACTTTCTTCAAAGTCTGTTTAATGATGTTTTGCCTATACTTGCCAAATGAATATTAATTACACTCACTTTAAGATACCTGCTAGTGGAAGAAACTGAGGAAAAAATTACCCATAAAATGAAAAATGATGCATTTTGGAGTCTTCCCTAGTAGCTATGAACAAAGACTTTTATATGCTGTCAAATTCCAATTTTCAAGGTCAACTTGAGGGGCCACGATAAAGAAAAATTTGACAACTTAAAGAATTACCTCCCTCCAAAGTCTGTTTTTCTCTCTCTCATTGACCTGGCTTCATCCTCATGGCTACAGACTTATATCCTCCTTCTTTGCCCCTGACAAACTGGTGACTCACTTCGATGGTCTCCTTGGAACGCTTTCGTTACTATCAGCACTACCCACTCCCCGACCTCGTTGAGGACTCAGATGCCACCTTATCAGAGAGGGCTTTCTGACCACCTTATCTCAAAGAGTGCTCTCCAGCTTTCCGCCCCTTGTAATTTTTCTTCCTAGCCCTTATTGTCACTGGACAAATCTACATATTGTTTGCTTATGGTCTGTCTCCCCTATAAGACTGTGAGCTCCATGAAATCTGGGATTGTGGTTTGTTTGCTGCTGTATCAACAGTGTGCCAAGAACAATGCTCAGCTCACAGTCGGCATTTCTTAAATACTTTTTGAGTTAATTGATTAATTAATGGTGTTAATTCCATGTCTTCCTAGACTCTCTTGGGGTTGTACATCACCCTCTCTCAACCTAGGCACTGCTCCTGTCCCGACTTGGCACTTCAAGTTGGGAAATTTAGGTATAGGATTATCTCAATTTGAGCTAAGAATAAAATGTATTACTTATTCATTTTTAAAAGAGTACTTTAAAAGCTAGAAATATGATTGCACCAGACAGCTTCATGCTTCCCTACAGACCCCCTCTTCTCTACCTGTCTCCACCCTTGTCCACCTGTTTTCTGCTCCAGGAGGTTGACTTATCCAGACCACATCAAAGGGCTCCCGTACTCTCCACCCTCTAGGTGAGTTTGGCCATTGGGAAGCCCCAGGGTGAGATGGTGAAAGAAATCAGTGAGGCTGGGTTGGCTCTTTCCCTGTAAGGTCATTTGACCTAGCTGAGCTCTGAGTGAGACAGAGGTCACTGTTCATCTCATGGAAGCCAATTCTTTATGACTCTCTCTTCTTCCAGATTCTGGAAACTGCTCCCCTCTCATTGCTTTGGACCTAAAGATGGATAACTTGGTTTTTATCAACTCCAGATTACTCTACCTTCCCTGAGATTCTCCCACATCTACACCTTATTAAAAAAAAATTCCTTTTGTGAATATATCCTCCTCAAACCCCCAATTGGAGGATGCCATCTGTTTTCCTTTTGTGACTATAATGAATACAATAATCAAGACTAGCTCTCCTGTAACCCCAAATTCAGAAGAGTGATTACCTCTGGGAGATGACAGGATATATAGTATGATCAAGGGAAGGTATATAAAGACCTTCTGGGGTTAATGTTTTATGTCTTAAGCTGAGTGCTGGGTGCATGGCTATTCACTCTGCTATTTTTATACCTTTTAAATATTGCTTAAGAATTTAATAGAAGCATATTAATTAGTATTTTTCCTAGTAATAGTTATCAACTTATTTAATAGTAAAACACAACTGGCTTTCTTAATAAAATCAGGACCACAGAAAAGATGCTTAATATCACCATTATTATTAAAATATGTCCTTGAAAATGCAAGTTATATAATAAAGATATATCTTATCATTATTTCCAGGCTATATGGTTGCTGGAAAACA